TATATATAAAGAGCAACGGTGGCTCCCTACGTGTTAATATAAAGAAAAATGTACAAAATTTGGAGGGGGAAGGAGTCTGTCTAAAAAGACAAAAAATATAATTAAACACATTTCTTGGGGTTCCTCCTCTCACAGTACAACTCACGCAAAAAGAAAATATTAAAATTACAGGTATACCCAAGCCAAAGAAAACAAAATCCAAAAATAAGTAAATCTGTGCCCGTGTATAACGGATAAGAGAAAGAAACCACAAAAATTGACAGCAGAAAACTCTAATCCTCTGGAACACTTTAGCGAGCAACATTGCCAATTGGTATGTCGGTCAACTGAGCAGAGAAAACCCAACAGCAGGGAACCAGCGAGAACTGTGAGAGCAGGAAAGCCAAGGAGACAAAACCAGAAAGGATGCAAACCAAAACCTGCAAAGAAAAAAAAGACCGCAAAAGGGAAGGTGCAAACCAAACCACCGTACAGAAACGAGAGCCCCCAACCATAAAGCCGAGCAGCACAAATGTTAAACTCTAACATACGGCAAATTAAGGTTGTCCCCAGTGAGAAGACGTTTGAGAGGAGCAGAGGGATAAATGCCAACATAACACGCCTCCCCTGCTTTCCTGGCTAACCAGTCAGCGGGTGAGTTGCCCTCTCTAAGATGAAACTCCAACTTACTTCCAAGTGACTTTCAGAAATTAAAGCATAAATACGTTTAAAGATGTATATAATATCCCAAAGAGGATGAAAGATACCCAATAGTATATCATAGAGCATTTTAGAATCAGTCTCCACCTCAATCACGTGAAAATTAAAAGCACTTGCCACCGTTAAGTCCAGAAAAACCCCCCACCATTTCGTGGCTAATGGATTGTCAGCAGCAACAGAAGTAAAGTGACATATACACTTACCCTCAGAATTTTTAAATATGCCTCCAACCGCAGCATATAAATGGTTCCAACTACCATCCACATTTACTTTAACACATCCAGAAGAAGGGGGAGCCCACCTGATTAAACAAGGGGGCCTAAAATTTGAAACATCATTGAAACCAACCCTGCGAACCTTGGTGTAATAGGCCAACACATAAGAAAGAGTCATAGAAGCAGTAGGAGGAGAGGAATTATATTTAAAGCTGTTTCTCGAGGTCCAAATAAACCATATGACCAGTAAAGGAAGGGGAAACCCTCCCCCCTATCATCAAAACCCTTCCAATGCCACAAATAATTACTTAATAAGCCTCTATGTATCTAGAGGATACCAAAATGTAAGCCCAAAAAGTTCCAAACATTTAAAGAGAAAGCACATTCAAAAAATGTGTCTCGAATCTTTCTCGACAACTTTGCACATAGGACATCTCGAAGCCAATTTAAGGCCTTTTAGCTTACGAATGTCCTCAATAGGAAGTAAAGAAGAGAAAAAAGACCAGAGGAAAAGGATATAGAGGGAGTTAAAAATTTGTGTCAAATCCATTTTTCTCAAAACCAATCCCAGTGTAAATGTAAAGTGTTATAGATTAACTTGCAAACCGATTGTGAAGTGTTCCTCTTCCACACGGGGAAATCCCTGCGGGAAGGGGGGTAATAGGTATAGTGTTAATATGCTTAGCATTTTGCTCCCCCACAATAGAACAAAGTTTGGTGAAATCTCAACCATCTTGAGAAAAGAAATCCGAAACTAATAAGTTATTAATATGGGGAGGATGAGCATATTCAGAGAGATAAAGCAAACCCCAATTATCATTCCAGAAAGAGATGTTACCGTCACCAATATCCCAAAACATGAACTCACTAGCAGTAGACCTGGCATTAACAATAGCTTTCCAGATACGAGAATCACCAACCTTCCATAAAACCTGAGAAGGGTGAGATAGAACACAATATTTCTGATGCATAAAAGAAGCCCATAGAGATGAATCCATTCTAAATTTAAACCAAAGTAGTGAAATAGAACACTATTTTTTATGCATAAAAGAGGCCCATAGAGATGAGCCCATTCTAAATTTAAACCAAAGTTTGCAAAAGCTTATTTCTACCGTATGTTTCAAGGCTTTAAAACCAAAACCGCCAGCATTTTTAGGCTTACGCAACCTTTGCCAAGATCCCCAAATCTTCTTAGCACCATTCCTCACCTCCCACCCAAAGGAATTTATTAAAAAACCTCTCCATGACCTCTATAGCACTTTTCTTAGGATTAAACACCTGCAAAGAATATAGAGGAATACTCTGTAGCACGCTAGAAAGCAAAGATATCATGCCCCCAATGGAAAGGAAACATTTCTCCAATTGTTAATTTTACGTTTGATTTTATCGATAACATCATCCATATGTATTTGTTTCCTCCTTCCCCTAATCAAATTAACCCCCAGGTATTTAAGAGGGAGAGAGGCATAATGATAACTTGTATAAGAGACCCTCCAATGAATAAGATGCTGCTTAACTTGTTTGCCAAAATACATCTCGCACTTGTCACAATTAAAGAGAAGACCCGAACAATTCTGAAAGTCATTTAAGAGCCCCATTAATTGTTTTAAAACAGGTTTAGAGGCATTAACAAAAATAATAACATCATCAGCATAAGTAATGTGAGAATCCACCATTTTCGCCTTATGAGAAAACTGTGTGTGAGGATGTATCAGATGGAAATGATTGAGCATTCTAGAAAGAAAATCAAAGGCTAATATGAAAATAATAGGGAAGAGAGTTCGAGTCAAAACGAGCCGAACACGAACAAACAAAGAATGGTTCGTGTTATTCGTGTTGGTTCGTGTTGCTCGTGTTCGGCTCTTTAACTTAGCGAACGAGCCGACGACGAGCTGCTCACGAGCACCACGCCTCGAACACGAGCTGTTCGCGAACAACGAGCCGTTTTGACAGCCCTAACAAGAATCTTGTCCAAAGATACGTCTCCATACTTTGTCGAGATCTTTATTGAGGTCTGTCAGAAATCGAAACATATGATCATTTTCAATAATTTTCTAGAAGAGAGCAAGGTCGATCGGAGATTCCCAAGTGTAGTCATTATACAGGTCCCATTCCGTCCTTATACAGGTCCCATTCCACCCATAATGCAACTAGATCATTGCACAACTAGGTCATGGTTTTCGATCCTTGTTTTGTCGCATGGTTTTTCTAGGATACCTCATAGAGTTTGTTGGAATTCGCTACATTTGAGTAGATATCATGAACTATCGTCTAGAAAGCACTAGCGAAAGGAAGAAACATATATGATCGGTCGATCGAAGTTTCTATGGAGTTGATCCGCCACGACATGAACATGAAATTTTCCACTTCCTAAGCTCCATATGTTGGGTCAGTCTTTAGAGGTTCATGAATCACACCAATGAGATGATCGAATTTCCCACGCCCTTTGATAAATAAGGACATAGATTTGGACCATTGGAGAAAGTAACTGTCGTTTAGTTCATGGATTTTAATCAAGAAGTTCATGTTGTTCTCTAGTCCTCTAGTCTACAAAGGAACAGAGGCCGGAATTGATCCTCCAGTGGAATCAAGAATATCTTTTGATGAGGGTTCAGTGTTGGAGGGGTCCGTCGTGACTCCAATTGAGCCAAACGACATGTTAGGTTGTCGAGACATCGTAAAGTTCTAGCTGTTGGAGAAATATGGCCTCTGGAAGGGTTCCTCTAGACCTGGCCGGCTGAAAGAAGGTTCGAGGAGATCAAGACAGAAACCTTGAAGCAGATGGCGACAAGGAGAGGGGATTTGGACTGAAGCTGATGCTGACCTGGCTGGCTGGATTGAAGTAGACGGTGAAGCAGGCGCTTAAGTTAGGAGCGGAGCGCATGGCCTAGATTAAACGCTTGGAGCAAGCCCTGAAGCAGGCGGCTTGGAGCAGACCTAGCTGGCTGAGGAGAATGGGTTTGGATTGGCCAGCTGGCGGCACGGAGAGGCCCGACAGTAGCTAGGTTGGGACCATGTCTCTAATACCATGTTAGAATAAAACGAGGGTGAATCTTATTGATGCGTGGAGGGGTATAAATACCCATTACAGGATCTACTAGTAATCAAACAAATAAAAACAAAATAAAGGATAAAAGGCAAGTGAATAAAAGTAAAGTCGAAACAATTAATACAAAATTCTGCAAATTAATATTCTAATATTCTAGTAATTCTAAATAACTCGCACCTCGTAACAAAAACTTTTGAGACATTCTCTACACCACAGATATAGATCTTCACATTTCGGTGACAACATATGATATTGCATAGAATTTACCTTCTATTATAGATTCAAGGAATTTCTCTGCTTTCAAAACTTCACCTCCTGCAGTAAATTAAGGGCATCATCAAGAAGGAAATAAACAAACAGAAAATAAATGCTACTGCTACAAAGAAACTGCAAGATGTTTAATCAAAAGCAAGTGCATTGCTAGAACTGCTTGAGAAGGCAAAGTTCTATAATTTAGCTATGGCAAAAAAGAAGGTTAGATCATTTACTCTGATTCAGTCATTTTAGACCAATGGGAATCAGTTTCTGAAATTAATAAATGCAAGAGGAAGAAAATAATTAGTAATTAGCAACTAATCCAGACCTACGTGTCATCAAATGAAAATACATAGCTCGAACAGTAGCTTTAATGCCTTGGCTACAAGAAAATAATCTATTAGTTTTAGTAAAGTAAATGAAATTTCTGAAGAATATACAAAAATAAGAAACTTTTCTTAACAACATGCACAAACAACAAAGCCAAACAGATGAAAGAAGTGCTGAAAAAAGAATAAATAGAATAGGAACAAGTGATCCTAAAAGTACTTCAACATTAGAGAAAACATAGAAGTTTGCATATTTTGTATAATATAGAACGGTTTTCTAAGGCAAGCAAACATAATGCCCCTAGGAAAGGGTAAATATTAAGTATATGTATGTGTGTGCACGTATTAAACTTTTTTTTAAAAAAAAAATTTCGGCAAGGAGTCCAACATGAGACCCAAACTTCTCTTAAAGAGAAGAAAACCGTATCATATCTGCCCCCTCCACCTCATCCTAGCGTGGCACCACCAATCTTGGTAGTGCTCCCCCTTGTTGAAGCCCAAACTGGCAAAATCTCAAATCCCCACTATCCTTACTCATTACAGGCCGCATTTCGATTTGACAATGATAGTATTCATAAAACTTCTTGCCTTGTGCATATTAACATAACGTTCTTAATTACAAAATTGGCATTTACTTGTGTTTCCTGAGCATTAATGTTTCATATGAATGCTGCGTTATGCAGTCTTAATTGCATGTTATCTCATTAATCATGCTCATTTGCACTCCTCAATAATATTTCTTCTTTCTCAACTCTTTATCATGGCCACATTGCATTTCCTCTTATGCAAAGTATATTTGATTGACTTTATTCATGCTTTCTGCTCGCAAGGCAGGCTTTCTCACTGTGCTATTCAATGTAGATTTCTCGAGTTCACACGCTGAAAAAAAGATATAGATTTTAAGATCCACTTACCTAATGTTTATATAATCTAACCAATATTATTTTTCATGAACCACGTCTTCCTAGTCTACCTCCTCATCCTTTAAGATATCATCACCTCTAACCAATATTATTTTTCATGAACCACGTCTTCCTAGTCTACCTCCTCATCCTTTAAGATATCATCACCTCTAACCAATATTATTTTTCATGAACCACGTCTTCCTAGTCTACCTCCTCATCCTTTAAGATATCATCACCACTTAGACATGAACTTTTCTCTGTGTTGGTAATATTGGTTCAATTGAAGAGCAGAAGTCAAAATCCGCACATTATACATTTGTTGGGTGAATCTTATCAACTAAAAAAGTAAGAAATTACGTATTATGACAAGATCTAATTTTGAAGCTTTACTAAAAGAGCCATGAACCATTTTGCATGTGAAATGATGAGGGAAAATACACTCTTAGGAAAGATGGAGTTTCCTACATTACAAACAGTAGAGGTTCTCTACTGTCATAAATGTTTTTCAATCACATCCTCAGAAACTGTGTTAGAACTAAATAGTTTAAGTTTAACTGTCATTTTATGAATGATATTATGCTTTCTCTAGTTCACAATAGAAGGCTAAAATTTTACAAAATTTCTCGGCCTATTAACTTTCTCTCGAATAAGTTGAAACTAAGGCTTTGTTTGGCGCAGCTACAAGGCTGCGGCGTGGCACCACGCCACAAAAAATTGGCCTTTGGGGCGGCAGTGCGCATGCGGCGGCCACGATATACCCCGAACGCGAAACAATATGATCAACCCGTGGTCAGGCTTCCTCTCTCGGCTTTTTACCCGATTTTACTCCCCTCGCCTCCGCAAACTCCCGTGAAAGAAGACGAAATGTGATCTACTCCCCTCGTCTCCTCTTCTCCGGGGGTTGGGTTGGCGTAGGTGTTATGTTTCAAGATATCATGACGATGTTGCTTGATCCCAAAGCGTTTAGGGATACTGTGGAGTTGTTCGTGGAGAGGTACAAGGACATGTGAATCTCTGTTGTGATTGGTAATGTAGTAATGTTGTTATATGTTGGTTAGATTTGGTTCCTCTGTTGGTTAAATTTGGCTTCTGTTTCTGTCTTAACTTTTTTGAAGTTTATAGCTCTTGAGCCTTCTTAAGAACCATCTTTTGTAATGAAGGAGGTTGTAAATTTGGTGCTCCGCAGTTAATTCCTTTCTTTCTATATGAAGTTCATCCTTTTCCTTATTTTTCTTTTTAGTACTTAGTTAAAGCTTCTTCTTGTTCTTCGTTTGACTTTGGGGGGTGATGCACGGTTGTTGTGTGTTGCTTTTGTAAATATTTTTCAATATTACAAAACACACACGACAACACTAAATTCAATCCCAATAAAAATAACTTTAGTAAAAATAATTTTATCTTTTAAAATCTTTAAATTTTGTTTTTCACACTAGGTCATCTTTTGTGTTTATCATAGATAGGTCCCTAAATTTTTTTGTATACTTACTTGTATGATCTAGTTAGTTAGAGGGGATGAATTTGGTATGAGTGTTCTGCTCACTCAGTTTGTAATCCAACTTTCAGATTAACATGTATGGAGCTATAGCTTAGCTCTTTCTTTTAATATATATATATATATATATATATATTTGTATTGTGTCAAATAGAAGCAATCTTATTTTTTATCCTTTTTCAAGTATGTAAAGAACACTGATTAATCCAGAGTTTAGTTTTTAATTTTATGGTTAAATTGGGAGGAAACCGGCTCTCACTCCAGAACTCACTTCTCCCTCGCTAGAAGGCTAAGAATCTCACATCAGTTTCCAATCAACTAAACCATATTGAAGATTTTAATCTGTCACATTAAATCTTTAATTCAAAATCTTCAATTCTGCGTTCAACAAAGTATATTTCCTTATTTATTTGCACTCAACCCCTTGGATTACATTCTCACCCTTGAAATTGAATGTGACTCTCACCATGCGAAATCATAGTCTTTCAGATCATATGTTTTTCAACACATTTTAATATTTCAATTGGTCAGATCGAAAAATAAATGAAGATGAAGTCCGAATCATCACAAATTATTGACATTAAAACCATATAAAGCAAAATCAATTCTTCACAAAACCATATCTCAGAGTATGGAGAAGTATAAAGAAAATTACTCATAATTCATGAGAAAGAAACAACAAAACACGGATTTCATATATAAAAACAAGTTTACAAAATAAAGAAATAAAAAACAACTTATATCGCACTCCTTCCCAAGCAAATCCCTAGAAGTTTCCTTTAATCGCTTTTTCTCTTTACAAACACTCTCAATTATCTCTTAGAAATGTAATGAAGAAGAAATCTCTCACTTTCTCTCTCCTCTTACAACCCTTAAAAGAAAATCTCCAAGTCTCTCACTCTATCTCACGCCTCTCTCTTCTCTCTCACGGACAATTGTTACTTGAGAAAATTTGTGGAAACAAGATATTTTGATTAAGGGTCTTAACTTGAGAAATTTAAGTTGTGTTCAACTTCAGTTGTACTTCTAGCATGAAGCCAGGGGTTTTGAGATGCAGAGGTGGAGAATATCACGTTTGAGGAAGAGGACAATGCAGCAGTGTACTAGTCTCAAGTGGGAGATTTTTTGTGTATTATGGAGCCTGGTCCACTTTGCTCCTACAGACAGTTTCTGTTTATATGACAGTTATTTGAATTTACTCAGGCGCCAAGTTACTTAAGTTTGCACTGTTTTGGGTTCTGGCGCTTCAAGCGCCGCTTCTCTGTATAATAGCGCTTATGGCGCTAGTTCTGACGCTTCAGACGCCAGCTCTCTATAAGTTAGTGTCAGTTATGGCGCCTCGGGCGCCATAATCACAAAGTTCTCTATTTTGACTCCAAATTTTCTCATTTTTGCTACTTTTGCTCCAAATGCCTAAAATTGATATACCCGTGTTTTTTTTCAGAAACTTGGCTAATCTGCTTCGATTCCATTTATTTTCATTGATTTGAATGATATGTATTGAAATGCTGCTTGATAATGGAGGCATGACTCTGTTGTTCTGTGTTAATTCATTAGTAATGCTTCACTATTCAAAGAAAAATCATTAGTTTATGGTTGTGGTTTTGTTTTAAACAGTTTTACTAAATAAGGACAGGATGGTCATTTTTCTATAAACAGTTGCCTCGCGGCAATTTTCTAGGGCAACGCAGCTGCAGCTGATAAGCTGAGAAGCTACAGCTGCGCCAAACAGAGCCTAACTCATATATACGATCCAACCTAAGTAGGAAGCTTCTTTGCTTTATTATATTAGCTCGCTAGCTAAAAATTCCATATGTTACAATCACATTCCCATCCATAATGCTTCATAATCCCATCTAACAAGAATAAACCAAACACGTGCCTTCCTTGCCCAGATGGAATACATTCCAAAGGGCTATAATGATATTTGCACAAATGCTCCACCTGTAAGAGAAAAATCACAGAATTGTAGTCTTTATATCTTCAATGCCGACTAATAGATGAAACAACACTCACAATCATAAGATTTAATAGGCATCTAGTTAAATATATTATTCATGTTGTAATAAGTAAAAGAGACATTGTCAAAAGAATACTTGGTGTGTGTTGTTTATGTGTCACATAATTCTAACTTAGAGAATTTATGCTCCTACATGGAGAAAGTTAAAATAATAATAACTAAAATATATGGGGCTAAAGAATTAGTAAAACAGAAACCAAACTTTATTCATTTGATAAATATCAATCGAGATTGCTAGAAATGTTAATGCTGGTCGAATTGAGTCAAGGTTGAGTCAAAAAATCATTTGATATTTTGATCCAAAAAGTGCATCAACCACTGACCTCCTCATATGCCCATCAAAGGGGATATTATCACTAGCTATGATTGCTAGTCAAGAAGAAGCACCAACTAGTCCCAAAATGAGCAACACAAATGAAATTTTGGATCGCAATTTCCTAGAAACCTATTCTTAAGGCCTGTAAACTGTCAACTAAGTTCATACATAAGACAATCTGAGCTTTCATTTCATTCTAAACATTCTGGTTTTATTTTAGGTTAGCTTTTGGGTCTACCAGATAATCTAGAAGAGAAAAACTTTGGGAGGCAGCTCACTTGGCCAAATCGAGGTTTCCTTATGGGAAAACTCCATTTAAGAGGCTCTCGCTTAGTTTAGTTGATAGTGTAGAGAATGCTACTTCGAGCAATAGATATTTCCTCTCCGAGAAAAACAAAGCATGTATAGTACATGAAAATATCATCAAATAATTATATATAATATAGGATCGTTCAAGTAATGCCCCACATTGCATAATTTGAACGGATCTAAGAAGTCATAGAATTTTTATTGGTGAATTAATTTATCAAAACCATTCACTTGCAATAAGTCGATACATTAACAATATCATTGGGAATAATATAATGTAGATACGGTAGATATGAGGCTTGAAGTATCTACACTGCTTACAACACTTCATGCTCCTTGACATAAGGTTAATCCATGAAAAAAAAAGTGATGTAGGATGCCTTAGGTTCTAGGTTCACTAATTGATGTGGAAAAATGATGTGAAATTTGTGAAAGATGACAAAGAATGAAAGAAAATGTCAAGGTTAGATGGTTGGCCTTCTCCGCATGTTGTTTGAAAGTATAAATCAAATTTATTTTTATTTTTAAATTGTAGTTTTAGATTATTTATTAGTTACTATTTTTATTTCAATAACATGCTTAAAAAGTTATCAGATGAATGAGTAGTGGAGAAAAAAAAACCTGCAAAAGTGTTGGCCCTGCAAGATGGCGCTTATTGTATGAGAAATCAAGTTTGAGTCGAGCCAATTATGGATGAATCATGGGAGCTGAAGTTAAATCAAGTGGTCAACCTTATGGAACTTATAATTTCCGGCTTCTTGTTTGAGTTATGGCTTCTTGTGGGCTCCAAAAATTTGTGTCCAGCTCTTCTATGAGAGATTCTTTTGAGTCAACTTTTAAGAAGGCAGATTGGATATTAAATAAGACAAATGCCACCCAAAGATTTCAGACTCATTTTATGAGGACTTTGTAATCAATTTTAAAGCTTCCATTAGTTGCAAGTCCTATGGTTAATTATCCCTTCCACTCATGTGAGAGAACTTATGATTAAAACTACCAGGCTTTGATTGAAGAATGAAAAAAACTAACTGGGAAAATCCAAAAGTAAAGTTAAGGTGTTATTGGTAAATAAAATCCACCAACGTAATTAAAATACCAGAGAACACGTCCTGTTCTCAACGGCACCAATATCATATGCATGTTACACTTAGCTAATAAACTAGAAATTTCATAGAAAAAACTAAAACAAGATCAAAGCACATAATTTTTGTCTTTCTAATGAATAGAGACTTCAAGATTGCATAAAAAACATTTTTCCGCTGATTTTTTTGTAGTTAATCTTGAAGCTGCTCAAGTAAAAGAACATCTTTCGCATTAACATTGAAACTTAAATCTGCTATATAATATTTGAGGCCCTTAACAGTCCATGTATCATTCATGTTTTGAATATTTCTGTCACAAGGCTGCATTTCAGAATAATGCTCGATGAATATCAAAATAATGACTCCAAAATTTCAATGGCAATAAATAAGTAAATAAAACTTCGATTTTCTTGGCATATATTTTATAATAATAAGGTCATACAAAAAGAGCCATCTGCTTAGATATTACATTTCATTTAAGACCTGCCTAATATTTAGAAAATTTCAACAAGTATTCTCACCTTTGTATGCATAACTCCGCTTGCCAAGATATTTGGAAGCATAAAGCTGCAGCACCTTTTGCAACATAGCCGCAAGACCTGGCTTATCTCCATCTTCTGTAGCCTTGAGTACAATGTGAGGAACAAAAATATTTTTCAATTACACTAAAAGAAAGAGAAAAACAAAAGGATGTTGGTGTCAGATTAAAAGGTAAAACCGTCGGAAAAAGAAAGTTGGAAGTTGATGCCAGATGCAAACAATTTAAACCATAGCATTTACCATTGAAAATAAATTAAAAATAAAAAAAATAACACACCCAATCCATGCTTGTAAATCCGTATATGGATCAAAATAATTTTCACAAAAATAATAAACTGAACCTCAATTCAATTCATTTGAAGGAGGAATCAAATAGTGATAACAACATTGGATTCTCTAAACATTGACTCCATCACAGCTTTCAATGAATGTCATCATCTTAAGCAAATTTTATGTCGATGAACAAAACACACCACTACCGTTTCCTAGACAAGCGCCCATTGTAGCCTGTCTATTATGGTTGCTACAGCCATTATTACTGTTTTTTGAATTGTATTGTCATTGCCGTCAGGTTCCCCATAACCAATATTCTTCTTAGTCAGTAATAACTAAAATTGTAGGGAGCACGTCTGATTTTTCACAAGTAATGAAAGCTGATCATCTAAGCGAGCACCTATAGTTTATCTTTTTGGATTTTCACATGAAAAAGCTAGTCCCTTGATTTGCTTCATTTGTCCAATTTAGTTGGTGATATTTAAAAATTATTAAGTGATCTAAATATCAAACCTTACACTCCCCACAAAGTTATGGTTAAAAATGTTATCAGTGCACTAATAGAAATGCATGCAGCATATAATTTTCAGGTGATCAAACTTTTTTATAAATTAAGTTGAAGAGATAAAAATCAATGCGAGTAGTGAACTTGACCGCACTTACTTGTCGCAATTGTGCATTAACCTCAGCAAGGAATCCTTCATCTAGTTGTCCCTCTCGTTCCCTTTTCTGTACTTCCTGCTTGGCAAACATTAGAAAAAAGGCATCATTATGAAGCAGCTATGACGAATTGGCTCGTTCAGAAGAGAAGCTTTCAACTGAAAAGCCATGAAAAACAATCTGTGAACCAGAATGTTCAAAAGTACTAAATTCAAAATTTTTGGGGTAAATCAAAAAGCATTAGACAAAAACGTTGCAAACTAATTTAGACATGATGATGCAAGCTTAGGGAACAAACATCAAAAATAACCACAAAACAGTTTTTAGCCTGAGTAGCAAAATTAAATGTTTTATTTATTTATTTATTTATTTATTTTTCCTGTAATGCTTGTATCAGAAGGATAAGAAATTATAGAAGAGTAATTTCTGCCTCATGCAATCTGCAAAAAAAGGTTTTTCCATGGCCAAGGGTTCAAATGACATCAGTATACATAATCACGAGAAATTAGCAACTGTAAAATAACTTCAAACTATTAAGTTAAATAAATTTAAAAAATGATTCTGAAATGTTGATTGTATGACTTAAATTGTTTCAGCATTTAATATAGCTATTAATTTGCATATTTCATCAATGAAGTTCTGCAGTTATTAATGTCAAAATTATACAATGAGAGTAATTTTCTAGAGTTGGATTGAGCATCATGTCAGAATTCAAAACTTGACAAGGCCTTCGTTGAAACTAGAGTAAATATAACAATATGACGAATGAAAATATAATTGTGTAAAATTTATAAAGTTGACTCCGCTTTATAACGGTGTCAAAAACTTGATGTGATATTTTATGAAGAAATGAGTTTTTAGTAAAATGAGATGAGATAACTGGTTTAAATATGTATTGTGCCAAATATGAGCAATTTTAATTCTCTACCCTGATTCAGTGTTATAGAAATGAGTTTTTAGTAAAATGAGATGAGATAACTGGTTTAAATATGTATTGTGCCAAATATGAGCAATTTTAATTCTCTACCCTGATTCAGTGTTATAGAAATGAGTTTTTAGTAAAATGAGATGAGATAACTGGTTTAAATATGTATTGTGCCAAATATGAGCAATTTTAATTCTCTACCCTGATTCAGTGTTATAGAAATGAGTTTTTAGTAAAATGAGATGAGATAACTGGTTTAAATATGTATTGTGCCAAATATGAGTAATTTTAATTCTCTACTATGATTCAGTGTTATAGAAAATTATTGACTAATCTTAGGTTTAGTCCTTAAATTCGTGGTTAGGCTAGGAGAATACTGGCTCCCTCTTCTCACTTTCATTCTCCTGAAGGCTAACTCTCGTTTTAGTTTTTAAACACTAAGATCAAATTGGGGATTTTTAGTCTGTCGCCCTACGTCATTCTAGAAATCTCTAATTCTATACCCAACAATATACATTTTCCTATTTATTTGCACTTAATTCCATGAACGAAATACTCCTTCATGAACTTAAATATGATTCTCACTCTGTTGTAGACATCATACTCTATTTCCCGGATCATATGTTTCACAACATATTTTAACAATTCAATTGGCCGGATCGAAAAGTAAAAACTAAGAGCGGAGTTGAAAAACCGTCACAATTTATTTTATATTTTAATATTGGCACATCCAAATTATCTCTTCATTTCTCTATATCTCAGAGTAGCGAGAAAGAAAAAGAAAACTACTCAGACTTCATGAGAAAGAAACAACAAAACACAAATTTCATATATAAAAGAAAGTTCATACAGCAATAACAAACAAACAACATTTATCTGAAGCTCTTTCTCAAAGCAAATCCTTTGTAGTCTCTTTTAGGAAATGTAGGAAGAAGAAATCTCACTTTTCTCCCTCTCCAACACTTCTTAGAAAAGAATTCACACTTAAACTCACCACACAAACTCAAAACTATAAAGAAAATAACTAACTAATAGCGTAGAAGAGATGCGAAGGGGCGATGGATAGCTGAGGGGTGAAGGAAGCAAAGGGCAAGGAAGGCCTAGGAAGGATGCCAAAGGAAGCCGAAGGGAGGGCTCTTTTCTGATCAATTTAGGCTCTAAATAGAGCCTAGGGTCGGTTCTCTAATAGGTGCATCCAAAAACTCTTCAAAAAGTGTCCAAATTCGTCGAATCTTCTAGAAACAGGGTCTGCACCGGCACTGACGCCGTCGGCGCCCATTCTGGCGTCGTCAACGCCAGAGGCCATCTAATTAAATCCGCCTTCTCTGTCGAATCTTCTAGAAACAAGGTCTGCTCCCATTCTGGCGGCGAATAATTTTTCAAAAATTCTATTTTGACTCCAAATTTCATTTTTTTTTTGCTTCATTTTTGCTCCAAGTCCTAAAAATCAACAACCTACAACAAAACATAAAAATTATCTTCCATTAAAGTGTAATATTACCAAAAATGAGTATAAAATATGGGTGTAAAAATGCATATATTTTTTGTGTATCACAATATAAAAGCCTTCAGCAATCCAAATGATCAAATTCAAAAATGCAAGGAAAATGTGTTATTAAAATTTTCTGCAAGACCAAGGCAAGATAAAGAAGGCCATGCGTATATGACATTTTTTCTCTAGAAAAATGGTGAATCAGCACTCTGTTTGATATCAGCATGCCATGCATTTAATTGTAAAAATTGCTCTAAACCTGAATTTATTGAAAAAAAATTCATTTTGTCAAAGACTAAACTCCTATTGACATAAAAAAAGAGTAAAGTGTCAAAATAGTCTCGTGACTATTTATATGGGGCAATTTTAGTCTCAGAATCTATAAAAGTATCAAATTAGTTCCCCAACTCTTTGGATATAGGCTGAAATTGTCCCTGGGAAGGATCATTTTAGCTTTCATTAAAAAATTTGGGGACTAAATTGTCACTTTTATAGACTCAGACTATATAAGTAATTTCATGTTAGAAAATCGATAAAATTGCATTTAACCTTTCCCAAAGTAATTTCATTTATATATATGCATCAAAGCTGCAGTTTCCAATATTTTTTTTTTTCTCAGCATACTTCTTCCATTAACTTCAGTACTTCTGGATCTCGAGGAGGCCAAGAAACCTCTTGCACTTCATCAACTACGGGTTTTAGGATAGCCTTCAAAATATCTGTTGCAGACTCAATCTTCTCCTGTGTAAAATAAGTAGCAAAATTAGATTGTAAGCATTGAGCTTTACAAATCCTATCTGGCCACTGCAAGCAGCCAAAAAATGTTTTAATTTTTTACATTTATACCACCCAAATATTTCGTATCAGATAAAAAAATGCTACTATTTTAAATTCAAAAAGCGAAATATACCTTTTTCATGCATAGGTAAGTTCGCATGTATGTAAAAATTGAACTCTTGCTATTAGATATGCAAATACATAAAAATTGAGTGGCATGTATGTAAAGTCTTCCAAAACGAAATAGTGCCAGTGCTGCTGTGACTGACGAGCTCATCTTGCATACCACAAAATTACAAGTTTTTAATAGTCATGCCACGCATAGGACCAAAGAGTTGGACCAAAGAGTAAAGTTCACTAAATTGATCCTAATCAATTTGGAGGGAAATATCACGTTTTGGAAATATCTAGAGATGATATATCAGTAAATCCAAAGAGTAAAGTTTCAAAGGCATCAAAGATTGAAATCTAATAGCGCAGTACACAAATTTGCGCCATTGACTGTTAGTACTGCATTAGATCTAAGTTAGATGTCAGCCGGAAATGAGACATGTAGTTCCAGCTTTACCAAAATCTACAAAACTAGGCACATCCGAATGTGTGTTGATAGCCGGTTTGTTAACAAAATTACTATTATGTATTCCTACCCTTCAATTGGGTGATATGTTGGATTTTATCTCAAGGGCATTTTTGTCCTTAAATTCATTACAAAAATGTAATTATCACCAAATCGAGATTCAATCAACAGATGGAAGAGGCTTTGCTCCAACGATTCTCTCTCTCACTTCATCCAATTCCCGAGTTAGTCTTGTTAAGGAATTTAATGGTTCTTTTCTACTCGATGAGGGATTTGAACATCGCAACATCATGTGAACATTACACGTCTCAAACATATCCAATTATAGCCAATAATTTGGCAGGATATTGCAATATTAGGCGACACTTAGCTCTCCTTGACAAAGGTCATGAAGCTTGGTTTCGATCTCAAACAATTCTACAGTATTCTCAGTGCTGGAATGACTCTCTTGCAGCTCACAGATTTCTTTGACAATTTTATAGAGTAAAAAATTTTCCCTTTCATTTATCATTAAGTTGACTAGCCAAGACATAACCATATGGTATTGATTCTTCCATGCACGATGATTGGGGCCAGTGATCTCAAGAGTTGTGCCTTCTCCCGTGAGATGATCCTTTTTCCTTTACCACAAATGCGCATAAATTACGGAATGGGACCATTGAAGGAAGTTCTGACCAATGAATTTATGATTTGTGATAAAGAGAGAGTTCAAGAGTCATCTGAGCAAAATTCATGGTCTTTGATTCAGGATTTATCCAAAACAATACAACACAATATTTTACATAGATTTCATTAGCACAATCTTGTAATTGTTAATGTTATTTTGCTTTGCCTGCACCTTGACACCCTCTTACACTCCACTAATCAATAAGATCTGGTCCATATTATAAATTCACATCCTAAGCTAACCCTCCAACATTATGTCTAACAATTTATCTCACATGAAATTGATTCCCTAAACTGATCTTTCAAATTAACCCAACCTGGGCCAATCTGGACTAATCTTGAAAGTCATTCAATCTAAACCTTCTAAATCCCTCACCTTTCAAACACAAACTCCAGAAAATATCTGTAGAAATTAAGCTAGAGATCCATAGTCATTAATATTTATCACTCTTACTGAAAGGCAACCCGCCATCATCACTACGCTTTTAGTACGATCCCAAACATGGTTACCTTAAAATATGGTTTTTTTTTCCTTGAGTTGACGATAGTGGAATTCACATGTAATGCACTTTCCAATTTGCAAGGAAATATTCTAGGTAAAAAGACACCACTTGTCAAATAGTTTATATTGGACTGTAGAAAATCTTATTTACCTTCATTATGACCAATGGTTCCCATATTTAAGTCATAGAGATGGCTTCACTAAAATGTAGAATAAAGCTGCACAGATGAACCTGTCCCTATATCCCGCATTGGCAGAGTTTCATCCACTGTGCACGCCCCCTTGTATTAAGATAAACTCGTTAAAAATCATGTCAACTTACCAATTCTTATAGCTATAGAAAAGAAAAAAAAAACCGTTAGGCATATACGCGAACCAGTCCCGCACTATCCAACCAGACAGGCGGACCCATCGTTTCCACGAGATGGAGTCAGGTCACTTCCGCGAAAAAAAGCCGGATCGCTTCCGCAAAAAAAAGCTAAGCGTGAGTGACTGGATGCTGCGACCGAAAAAGGCGGGGAGCAAAGAGGGTCCCCGAGGGCCTTAAACACCTATTCAAAGTTCAAAGAGGATAAATTAAAGGAGTTTGGAGGAAAGGTTTGAAAGGATAGTTTTTGAAATGTTGTGAGAGGATTCCATTAAATTGAGTAACCTAGAGTTCGTTTCTTTATGCATGTTTTTATTAGCTGCTGGTTTTCCTTCTTCTTATGGTGTTCCTAGTGACTTTAAGAGTTGTGGGAGAGCCGATCTACCTCTCAAATAGCAAATCACCCTTGTATCTTGCTCGTAAGAGCAGCACTTATTTGAATAATTTCCATGAATCCATTGTCGTTTCATCGTTGCTACTTGCTAATTTTGGTTCTGGATTGTATCAAATTGGTATCAGAGCATAGATCTTGGTGGGATGGAGCAAAGAAAGTAATTGTGTTAGAAGGAGAGGTGGGGCAAATCATATCAGGAATGAAAGAGAAGTTCGCCATCAAGAATGACAGATTTTCTTCAATTGAAAGTCAAATGGAGGATGAATTTGAGAGCATAGGACAAATGCGAAAGACAATGAAAAAGTTTGTGGAGATGCAAGCCGAGACTGTGCCAACCGCTCCAGTTACAAATTCTAACCAAGGATTAATCACGGAATCCTTGGCTAGGTTAAAAGGGAAGAAGATCGAGCGAGAAGACAACAAAGAAGACTTCATCTATGTACAAGAGCGTCCCCCTAAGGCTAGGAGAGGAGGGGGAGTGGATACTTTCGATGGAGGGGTATGGGTTGAAAATTGGAGAGATGGTGTAAGAGGCAAGGAAGAGGACGATAGAGGAAAGAGGGATTAGAGAGAGGGATATGCCTTTGACCGAAAGAAGGAGTTCCACCCTAGACACATGTGGGGAAATATCAGAAGAAGAGGAGGTTGGGGTGAAGATTTGTACACTTCGGCTCGGCACCTTCCTTTGGTTCGTGCTTGCACGGTCCGTTTCTCTGCAAATCTCAAATTCGAACCTTTGCTCACCCGTGGGCCTTCCAGGATCACTTTTGGAGCTCGCAACACTGAGTTTGATTCCCAGTTGATCCTTACTAATCTATATGAAGTTAGGTTAGCTACTTCCCTCAAAAGAGGTAGAAAACTGAAGATGCAAATCTTTGAAGGAGATGATGCACATGGGCATGCACATGGATGGGTGTATCGGGTGGAGCGATACTTTGCAATCAACAGTTCACTGAGGAAGAGAACCTCGGCTTTAGCGTGGTTCCCGTGGATGGAGGCAAGGTATTCGATTCACTAATAAGAGGAGTTTATGGGTCCGTTTGGAGCAGCTTATTAGGAGCAACGACGTTTTGAAAACGCACCAAACCTATTTGGATAAACTGCATTTTGGAAACATATGCGTTCTCAAAACGCTGAAAACAAGGTGGCAACTCTCTGGCTACAGTCTGGCTTTTCCAAAAAAAAATAAAAATTTGTAATAGTCACTGCACCTAGCTTATCAGCATATTATTCAATAAGTTGGAACTACCCCAAACAGACCCTAAGTATTGCTTACTGGAGCGTTTTTGAGTCATTTGAGAAGGAGAGCTAAGCGAGCAATTACAAGATGAGGGAATGGATATGGAATGCCTGGAATGCCGAGAGAGGTTTGAGCTCTTATCAGGGAGGTTGAGGGGGATTTCTGCAGCAGAACTGGAAGTGATTTTCTTGAAAGGCCTAAAACCCGACATAAGAGCAATCATCTGCCCCTTGAGACCGAGTGGATTGAGGGAATACTGGAGCTCACCCAGATAATGGAAGATAAGAAACAGGTGCAGAAGATCGGCAAATGTGGCAACACCGAAGGATTCTACAAGAGCACCGAGACAACTACGACGTCGAAAACCCAAACAGTGTCATTTTAGAAGATTGCGCTGAAAGAGAAGAGTATAGGACCCCGACCTGGGGGTAATTTCAAGTGCCTCAGAGATGCATAAGCGTGGGATCGCTGTGACGAGAAATGCCTCACGACACCATTGCAAGGAGCACGCCCTCCAGTTTCCTTTAGTTCTAGAGGAGGATATAGAGAGTGAGGAATTAGAAGAGGAAGCAGTGGAAGAGCATCTGCTTTTGGATGTGGCGGAGGTGTCCCTCAATTTAGTGGTGGGATTTACCCCGAATCTCGCCATGAAGGTGAAGGGATGGATCAAAGAATAACCAATTGTCGTGTTGGTGGATAGAGGGGCCACACACAACTTTATCTCAAATCAAGTTGTGGAGAAACCATGGTTGAAACTAGTGATCACAGGAAGCTTCGGCGTAAGGTTGAGAAAAATCAGGGAATTTGCAAGGGGTTGGTTTAGACACTACATGGCCTACAGGTGGTGGAAGACTTCTATCCTCTAGATTTGGGCAGCACAGATGTAATTTTGGGGAAGAAGAGGTAGCGAACACTCGGGAGATGAAAGTGGATTGGAAATCCTAGATGATGGAATTCCAAGTGGAGGGTAGGAAGGTGATGCTAAGAGGAGATTCTAGCTTATGCAAAACCATAGTGCCGCTCAAAACCATGGTCAAGTCGATTCGGGAAGCAGGACTGGGCTACTTGGTGGAGTTGCATAGCATTGAAAAGATTCAAGATTCAGAGTTAACAGATTTTCTGAAATGGATCCAACAGCTCTTACAGCAGTTTACAGATGTCTTCCAACAGCCAAACATGTTACCTCCTCCGACGGAACACGAGCACTCTATTACATTG